GGGGGGGGGGGGTGGATTGGCGCATCGGTTTGGACGGAGTGGGTGCTAGTGTCTGCCATGAGTGGAACGGGATAGAGAACTCGCGGTGGGAAGGATAGTTGGGTATCCTTCCAGACAAACACGCCGAAACGCGCATTTCCGGACGACATTATGTTGACCTCAACGTGCTGAATCGACAAACAAAGAGGTTGTGAGTCAAAGAGAAGTAACATGCGTACGCCCCTTGGGGGAAACTTTGAATGACTCATGTGCGCACGCAAACGAGGACTTTTCACCATGCAAAACGTGAAGCCTTCGCCTCTGGAGAGCTGGGGTTTGGGCAATAAGAAGGGCTAGTTGAGTTCTCCTGGGTGCGGTGTGACGTCACGGCAAGGTAGTATTGCGGAGAAATTGTGATATTTGAAGGGTGGTAACATGCACTTGTTGGCGTTACCCACCTGTAGCACTCCGAAGGGAACGTTGGTGGACACTAGCGCTCTCACCCCGGTAGCAGCTTCGGGCGAGGCTTTCACCAGATTTAACTCCCTGCGGAATTTGACCAATCAAGCCATACAATACCGCGTCATAATGATTTACCGCATCATCCCGTAAGCCTTTCTGGTTTGAAAAGGAGGTGCTAGCACTTGCAAGTAATCTTGAATGCGGTGAGCTCGACGTTGACTATATACCTGATCTGCATGTCGTCTCCGACGCAAAACTGTCTCGAGAAGTCCCTCGTTGCAGATGCGGCGTGAAGGGCACACCGAGCCTGTGAGTTACACCCCCAGAGAGCGAACACCATTGTCAGTGTCCATGCAAAATGGTGACAAAAGGTGCTCAAGTTTGCGGACGTGGCGGCTGGCGAGATCAGACGCTGCCGGGATGCTTATCTGTACGAAAGTATTTGGAGGGTCTCAATAGAAGACGCACATGGAATTGTCAAAGGATGTAACGGTCTTTTCACCACTTCGTTCCTTACGATATAGTGTATGTATCCCATGCGAGATAGTGCTGCCGTACCTGGTAGATGTCGGGCAGCCTCTTTCCGGTGCACGTTTCCCACAGGTACACTTGCCCTTCGCTGCTAGCAGTCAAGATCCGGCGGTCCCTCTCTTTCCACACGATTGACCTGGGGGTTGCAGAGGATACATATAGCGCTCGTAAGCACGGCGTTGAACTAAGAACAGTACCCTCCGGTGGAAATGACCGTTGTCCCTGTAAGTAATCCTGTGACCTGTGACTAGAAGATTCTTGGAATAACCACGTTCAAACAGGGATTGATGGACGCAGGTCCTGCTCAGGGAGATTTGCCGCACGTGCATTAATGTGCGATGCTTACAGATCATCACCGCATGACGCTGCCGAAACTGAACTTGTACTCCTCACAAAATTGCTGTCTCGGTGATGGAGTGTTACCTGATCCTTCCCTGGTGACCTTTCAGAGACGTCACGAGATTGCACGTGAAAGTTTCGTACACCAGGATCTGTTTACCGTCGGCAAGGGTAGAGAGACACGGCAGGGCAGCGATGTCGGAAGGGCAGGGTCGACACGGATATCAGTATGTCGTACACCTTCTTCCACCACCAAGGTCAAATGAGACCAACTTGGTGTATTTCGCGAACTGTATTTATGTATTTACCTTCTATTCACCCTCTTTAGTACCCTTCAGAGCATACAAACTAAGTTTGGTGGTCGCGATACACAAATCAAGAACAAGCTGACAAGAATATCAAGAGAAGACGCACCGAAAGTCCGACCAGGAGCGAGAAAGAACACCCCCCCTAAGAAGCCCGCAAACGCAAAATCGAGTCAACGATTAAGTGTTTGTTTGACAAAGCGTCTCCCGAGTTAACGAAAATGTCCCACCAACAAGCAACTGCCATGCAAGAGATATCTCAAGACTACCTTATGCAATGGTCGCAACTCAATCGGATGCATTTTGAAGGCATAGGGAAGGAAAAATAGCGACAAGCCAATTCGTACTTCTGTGCTGCATCAAACAGCGATGCCCCCCCTCCTGTGCTAGAGCGTTCAATACTGTAAACACTCGGAATCTACGCGACAAGTTGCATTTCGTTAAACAGGAGCCACGTGTTTCCCACCTGAGCGTTGTGAGAAAAAGAAAAATATTGCCCCCCTCCGCTGAAGCACACCACTCGGCAGTGTTTGACGACGAACTCCTTCAACTCGCGCACGTCCTCCATGAGGATGCTGTACAGCCGAACCTTTTTCATGCGGTGAGTATCGATCGAGCATGACACGCCCATGGCGAACACCCGGACAGGTGTATTTTCACGGGAATGGGCGAGAATGCTTAGTTAGAGAACGTAATATCGCTGGCCTCGACATCCATCCAGTCAACACCATTGTTCCCTCCTAAAAATGACAGCAGCACCGAGTCTGCTCGAACGGTACGGAGAAGTCTGCTTTTCATCACCTTTTCGCCGAAGGAAACGAGGAGGTACAGGCCGGAGGGGTGGAGGGAGACGGCGAAGGGTGCGGCGTCGAAGAAGCTGATGAGCTCCGAAGATTTGTCCTGGAAGTTCCAAAGTCGAAGAGCCTTGTCCATGCCTACCGTCGCCACCTATTCCCACCATTTGCGGAGAACGGAGAATGATGCAATACAATCGAAGTCGGCACATTGCTACCAAGTGGCAATCCATGCCACTCGTAAAATCATCGAGGTCTACTGTAAGTGTGATGCCGTAACACATATTTGTGGCCCAATACTCTACTGCTACATGAACCTTTCAGGCAGAAGGCACAACGCATGCTTTTATTACCGCTGGTGCTTCAAGGCGCTTTCATTGCTTGCAACAGCGCCGGGGTAGCTTATGGTAGCACCACCCAAGCAATTAACAGCCCTTTGGTCGCATCGCAACATACTCCACCACCATCCTTTCAAAGTCAGCCATTGTACTCGAACTGGCACTCGGGTTTCAGCTGTGTCAGAAGTATCTCACCAGGGGCTTCCACACCGCCACCGAGACGCCGGTGATTCGCGACGAGGGGACCCCTGTTGTGCCCCCGCCAGGGCGCGTAGGAGCGGTTGGAATGGGAAATGGCCCCGCCATCCTCTCGAAGTTCATGGTGTCCTCTTTCAAGATGTCCGTGTTCGACAAGGCAAGGCTGCCACAAAAAGCAGGAAGGAGGGAAAAAATCGTGGTGTTATCGATGTAGTCGTTGCGACTAGTCTGCGCGCAACGTGCGCGACGCAGATGATCATGAAACATCAGTAGACACGTCTTCGTTCCCTGCACTGGACCAGGCCAAGCAGAGGTACAGTACAATGTGTCCCGTGAGCTGTCAGCCAGAAATCTCCAACCTACTCACCTGTATATCTGGTTGTTGGATGTCGTAAGAGCCAGCTGGTCTTCGCTAGGGCTGATCGCAAGGTTGGTGATGGAGCTCACGTTAGCTTCAATTCGAAACGTCTGCAACGGACGGAGGTAGGGATTGAGAGTACAGCAACAGGCGTGAGGGATTGCGGGGTAAGTCGTGTCCGTAGTTTGGTTGCCGGATTGAAGCATCTGTTGGAGGCGAATTGTACTGAACCCAACTGCACTACTGGCAGAACACAGTACACAACCAAGAAACAACACAGCTGCTGCGGGATGCGTACGACCGAAACAGTGCTAAGTATGGTGTCCCGCAAGACTCGTCACAATCTCCTGAACCGGCTGTACAGCAGTCTGTCTAAGAACGTGTTCAGCTGACACTGGCCAACCTCACACCAAGAAAACCTTGGTCACCTTGAGGCACTTAAAGAACTCCCCGGGTTCGTCCGATCTTTCAAACACCCTTAAAACCCCATTGGCACCGCCAGCGACGAATCCCTTGGTGAAGGCGGCGAGTATGCAGATAGCCTCGGCTGTGGGGGTCGTTAGCGCGCACCGAAACTCCAAGGTTTCGAAAAGGTACAAATCGCCTTGATCTGTCGATACCACGACCTGTTTCAGGCACATCGAGATTGCATGTTTATGGTGTTGACGTTGTCAAAATTGGTTTTACATTCGATCAATTCCATACCCCATGGTGTAGTGGTTTGAGAGACAACCACAATCTGACTTTGTTATCCTCTACCGACACGGGAGGAGTTGTCAACGAAACAAGTATCAAGCGGATCTACAAAGAGTTTGCGTGTACCATAGCACTTTGCCTAAAATGCTGATGGCGGACTGGCCAACTTTCCCCACCTGATCGTCCGCAAGCCAACAATGTGCCGTGTACACCTGTAGCTCCATCTTCAGACTCAGTGGTAGAGGCTTGAACTGAGCGTCAACCACACGGAAAAATCGTAGAATTCTATCCCCGGTAACGCAAACCACGGCGGGATCTGAAGGACAGAAGTCCGCTTGATTCACTGCTGGGGCCTGGTCACCGTTTGCTCCTGGGCTAGAGATCTTGACCGAGCAAATGACTTTCGCCGCCTGCCGAGGTGTAGTGTAGCAGTCACCCCACGCATTGCAACGCCGAGGTTCCTTTGAAAGACCAATGTGTGTTCCAACGGTTGTTGCTGCCTCTTGTTACGGCTAACGTTTTCTGGTGAAGCTGGGCTGATCCGTGTGCGGGATACCGCATCGGAATAAGCTGTTGGGACCGTTGGCATTTCTGTTCATCGAGCAACTACTCGCACCAACGTTTGGGAGTGTGACACCTCTTCAGCACTCTCATGTAGTTTAATAACCCACCTTCTCAGCCGTCCACAGCACCAACTTCCACTCCGGCGCGCCTCCCTGGGTCAGGCAAAGTCTACCGTCTGCCGAAAACGCCACCGAAACAATGTTCGGAGAGCCCATTTCGGGCCAGGAGAGCATCTTGCGACGCCTCAGATTGACCACGTCGTAGATGTTAACGGTGGGGCAGCCCTTTTCCGTCATTGCCGCCTCCGCCACCGCAAGGAGACGGCGGTTCGTTGTGAGCGCCAGAGCTGTAATGCCTGCCGAAGCGGTCCCGCCTATTAACTGACAACAGGACGTTGATGAGTGGCAACAGCATGCGATGGGCAGGTGGTGGTCAGGCTATAAGCGCCACCCCAGTGCTACCACCGTTCGTGGTACTGATGCCGAGGACGTGATGCTGACAAGTTAGACGTATCAATTGTTGGACCAGTACTAATGGAGAAGAGAAGGTACTGAGCGGAGATCGGAAAGTGTTTAATGTGAATACAACAACAACAACAACAACATATATCTCCGGCGTGCTTCTGGTGCGCATCAGAATTTCAAAACACAAACAAAAAATCTCGATTTTGATCGTCCTATCATTTGTGGCCCTCGAAGCGGGCAACGGCGAGACGTTGTCGTTTCCAGTCCGTAGCTTGTACATTGTACACGTCAACACTGCCGTGCCGTTGGTTTAGGTAAATCGTACATCCCACAATTTGAATTATATTGGCAGTAAAGAAATTCTCCACACACAATCCAGAAACAATGGCGCGTACGGCAGACGTATTCCTGGTGCATACCGCATATGACACAAAATAACACACCCCCTGGACCAATTTTCAAAGCTCGATCATGCGACAAGGAAGATAATGCATACATGAAACAATACATTTTCGGAAAGCTCTAGACAAGACAGTTTCAACTCCACGATTTTCCGCGCTGAATCTCTTCCTGCTGTCGAGAAATCGAGATTTGAAAATCGGTTCAGGGGGTGTGTTATCTTGTGTCATCTACGGTATCCTTTCGCTCCAG